GCATCAATCCCATCGGTATAGCGGTCCGTAAGTATTCCAGTAAAAAATACCTTATAATCGACTTGTCAGCCTCCCATAACTCCCACGTGCCAAGTCTCAATAGCCTTATTCCCAGTTCAGACTTCTCCCTCCACTATGCCACAATCGACCATGCCATTTCTCTCATCAAAATCGCAGGTCCGGGCACCTGGCTCGCTAATGCCGACATCTCCAGTGCCTTTAAAGTTATGCCTCTCGATCCAGACTTCTGGCACCTCTTTGGAGTTCATTGGCGGAACAAGTTCTTCTTCGCAGTCCGCCTTACTTTCGGATGCAGGAGTAGCCCAAAAATTTTCGATACCTTAGCCGAAGCTCTCTGCTGGATCCTCTTGAATAACTATAGGCTCCCTTTTCTCGTCCACCTTCTCGACGATTTCCTTACCATAGATTTTCCTCACACCCCACCCGCAAGAGCCTCTTCCACACTTACTTCCGTTTTCGGGAAACTAGGGGTACCTCTCGCCACAGACAAAACCACTGGTCCCTCCCATATAATCCAATTCCTCAGGATCACCCTCAATTCCATTAATTTCTCCGTCTCCATGCCTTGCGACAAGATCGACAGGATCTCTACCTATTCTTCCGCCAAATCTTGCACAAAGAGGGAACTTCTCTCTCTGCTCGGCCACCTCAATTACGCCATGCGTATCATTCCCCAAGGATGGTCATTCATCCCCTACCTTCTCGACTTCACCTCTTCCGTGTCCTCTTCTTACCACCACGTAAGCCTTTTAGCCGACTGCAAGTCCGAGCTCAGGCTTTGGCAACTTTTCTTGGCCAATTGGAATGGCATATCTCTCTTCTACGATGACCTCCTCTCTGACGCCGAGGATATCCAGCTTTTCACAGATGCAGCCCCCTCAGTCAGTTTTGGAGGCTATTACAAAGGCCAATGGTTTGCGACCCCTTGCCCTCATGAATTCTCTTCGATCCCTTTCGCCGACCAGTCATTGGCCCTGTTCGAAATATTTCCAATTGTTGTTGCAGCTTCTCTTTGGGGCCACAATTGGAAACAAAATCCGTCCTTATCCATTCGGACAACTATGCAGTAGTCCATATAATCAATAAAGGAAGGTCTTCATCC